ACTTTCGGCTTAGGTTTGAGACTACGCCGCCTCCCTTGCGGCGCCTTCGCAGGCGGCTCCTGGCTGCTGGTGGACGACGTCCCGTCCTGCTCTACCGAGTCGTCGAGTGGACGCTTTAGCGTGGCGCTGGTCACGCACATCTCGTCGTCGCTGTCCGCCGCCGTCTCTCCCTGACCCTCCGTTGTATCAGCTGTCCCCACTGGAACCACGTCCGTCTCGACCCGCTCAGGCTCGGCCGCTGACGGGGCGCTGGCCGGTGTAGTCGAAAGCTGGCGAGTCTCCGGAAACTTGGGTGTGTCTGCCTGCGCCGCCCCTCCAGTAGTCACAGGGACCACTGGGCTTCCGACCCCTTTGGCGGCGTCCTCTGCCTCGGCCGCGTCCATGACGTGATCAGCCATCGCCTCGTTCTTCGCTGGCCCCATTGCACTGGCGTACGTTCGAACGCAATCCGCCTCGACGTGTCCGAAGCGTTTGCACCGCGAGCAACGGGGAACCTTGCACTCTCGGCGGACGTGCCCTTTGCCTTGGCAGCGCAAGCATTGCATCGGCCGACCAGGCACAACCAGCAAGGCCAGCTCTCCATCGATCCTGATCTGGTGCGGAAGGTCTTCGACCCTGACGCCGCTTTTCAGCTTCAGGAGAGCTGTTCTCGTGGTCGAACACTTGTCGGCCATGCCCGGGACACGCCACCGCTCACGGCTCACCTCCACGACCTTGCCGAAAGCCGACAGCGCCGTCCGTACTTCTTCGTCGCTCACCCCGTGAAGCAGCCAGTGAATTCGTAGCCGCACCTGCTGGTCCTGTGGGTCGACGACGACGCAGCGCCGCCCCTTCACCTGCAGCTCCTTCAAGGCGAGCAGGCGTTTTGTGGGAGCGGCATCATTGAATGTCACCGCCCACAAGTGGTTAACCTGGTATGCACCGAGGCTTACCACATCCGGCAGCAGGCCCGTTGGCGTCAATGCGTCCCTGAAATCTTCGACCTTGTATGGCCTCGCTCGTACATCACCGTGTAAAAACACGGTGTTGATAACAAGTCGTCCTTTTGGCATTTGCGGCAAAATAAACTGGTATTCGCTATCTCCGTTCCTGTTTCCGCGGCTAAGATTGGCCGCTGTCGCCGCTCCGCTGGAGCTCATGATCCTGCGATCCGTTCAGCACGGCTGCCGGAAGCAGAATGCTCGACCACGAATGCGCCGACGGTGTCATCTGCTATTTCACTCTGAACATAGCCGTTTATATCGAGAAGATAACACAAAATGAGGAAACGCAGTCGACAGGATTCGAACCTGCGCGGGAAGAACCCAATGGTTTTCGAGACCATCGCCATAACCACTCGGCCACGACTGCGACGATGGCGCCATCTCTTATTTCCCTCTTAACAAAGTCGACTATGTCGAGAAGAGAAAAACAAAACGAGGAAACGCAGTCGACAGGCTTCGAACATGCGCGGGAAGAACCCAGTAGGTTTCAAGACCATCGCCTTAACCACTCAGCCAGCCATGACTGCAGTGACGGCGTCAACTCCTCTTTCACTCTTAACATAGTCGACTATGTCGAGAAGAGAAAAACCAAACGAAGAAACGCAGTCGGCAGGGTTCGATCCTGAGCGGGAAGAACCCAATGGTTTTCAAGACCTTCGCATTACCCACTCCGCCCCGATTGCGGCGAGGGCATTATCTGCTATTTCACTCTCAACATAGTCGTTTATGTCGAGAAGAGAAAAACAAAACGAAAGTACGCCATCGGCAGGGTAGAAACCGGCGCGGGAAGAACCCAATGGGTTTCAAGACCATCGCCATATTTACTCGGCCACGACTGTGGCGATGGCGTCAACTCCTATTTCACTCTTAACATAGCCGACTATGTCGAGAAGAGAAAAACAAAACGAGGAAACGCAGTCGCCACGGTTCGATCCTGTGCGGGAAGAACCCAATGGTTTTCAAGACCATCGCCCTAACCACTCCGCCACGACGGCGCCGACGACGTCTACTCTCATTTCCCTCTGAACGTAGTAGACTATGTCTAGAATAGAAAAAGAAAACGCGGAAACGCAGTCGGCTGGGTTCGAACCTGCGCAGGAAGACCCCAATGGTTTTCAAGACCATCGCCTTAACCACTTAGCCATTACTGCGGCGACGGCGTTTACGCTTATTTCACTCTGAACATAGTCGACTATGTCGAGAAGAGAAAAAGAACACGCGGAAACGGAGTCGGCAGGGTTTCAACCTTTGCGGAAAGAACCAAATGGTTTGCAAGACCATCAGTACAACCACTCGGCCATGACTGTGGCGACGGCGTCTACTCTTATTTTTTTCTGAGCATATTTAACTGTGTCGACCAGAGAAAAAGAAAACGCGGAAGGGCAGTCGGCAGGGTTGGAACTTGCGCAGGAAGACCCCAATGGTTTTCAAGACCATCGCCTTAACCAGTCCGCCACGACTGCGGCGACGGCTTCTGCTCTTATTTCACTCAGAAAGTAGTCGACGATGCCGAAAAGAGAAAAAGAAACCGCGAAAACGCAGTCGACAGGGTTTGAACCTGCGCGGGAAGAACCGATTGGTTTTCAAGATTATCGCCTTAACCACTCGGCCACGACTGCGGTGACGGCGTCCACTCTTCTTTCACTCTTAACATAGTCGACTAAGTCGAGAAGAGAAAAACAAAACCAGGAAACACAGTCGGCAGGGTTCGAACCATCGCGGGAAGAATGCAATGGCTTTCAAGACCATCGCCTTAACCACTCGGCCACGACAACGGCGACGGCGTCAACTCGTATTTCACTCTTAACGTAGCTGTTTTATGTCAAGAAGAGAAAACAAAACGAGGAAACGCAGTCGGCAGGATTTGAACCTGCGCAGGAAAATCCAACGGTTTTCAAGACCATCGCCTTAACCACTCGGTCACTACAGCGACGGCGTCTCCTGCGATTTCATTCTGAACAAAGTCGTTTATGTCAAGAAGTTAAAAAAAACGAGGAAACGCTGTCGGCAGGGTTTGATCCTGAGCGGGAAGAACCCAATGGTTTTCAAGACCATCGCTTTACCCACTCCGCCCCGACTGCGGCGAGGTTATCATCTGCTATTTCACTCTGAACATAGTCGTTTATGTCGAGAAGAGAAAAACAAAACGAGGAAACGCAGTCGGCAGGGTTCCAACCTGCGCGGGAAGAACCCAATGGTTTTCAAGATCATCACCTTAACCGCTCGGCCACGACTGCAGCGACGGTGTCATCTGCTATTTCACTCTGAACATAGCCGTTTATATCGAGAAGATAAAACAAAACGAGGAAACGCAGTCGGCAGGGTTCGATCCTTAGCGGGAAGAACCCAATTGTTTTCAAGACCATCGCTTTACCCACTCCGCACCGACTGCGGCGAGGGCATCATCTGATAATTCACTCTGAACATAGCCGTTTATGTCGAGAAGAGAAAAACGAAACTAAGAAACGCAGTCAGCAGGGTTCGAACCTGCGCGGGAAGAACCGAATGGTTTTCAAGACCATCGCCTTAACCACTCGGCCACGACTGCGGCGATGGCGCCAACTCCTATTTCACTCTTAACATAGCCGTTTATGTCGAGAAGAGAAAAAAAACGAGGAAACGCAGTCGGCAGTGTTTGAACCTGCGCTGGAAGAAGCCATGGGTTTTCAAGACAATCCCCTTAACCACTCGGCCACAACTGCGGCGATGGTGTCAACTGCTATTTCACTCTGGAAATAGTCGTTTATATCAAGAAGATAAAACTAAACGAGAAAACACAGTCGACAGGGTTCAAGAATGCGCGGAAAGATATCAAAAGTTTTCAAGACCATCGTCTTAACCACTCAGCCACGACAACGACGATGGCATAAACGCCCATTCCACTCTAAACGTAGCCATTTTATGTCGAGAATAGAAAAAAAAACGAGGAAACGCAGTCGAAAGGGTTCAAACCTGCGCGGGAAGTACCCAATGGTTTTCAAGACCATCGCCATAACCACTCGGCCACGACTGCGGTGGAAGCGTCAACTCTTATTTCACTCTTAACAAAGTCGACTATGTCGAGAAGAGAAAAACCAAACGAGGAAACGCAGTCGGCAGGGTTCGAACCATCGCGGGAAGAACCCAATGGTTTTCAAGACCATTGCCTTAACCACTCGGTCATGACTGCGGCGACGCCGTCTCCTGCGATTTCACTCTGAACAAAACGTTCATGTCGAGAAGAGAAAAGAAAACGAGGAAACGCCGTCGACAGGGTTCGAACATGCGCGGAAAGATCCCAATGGTTTTCAAGACCAACGTCTTATCCACTCGGCCACGACAACGGCGGCGGTGTCAACTCCTATTTCACTCTTAACGTAGTCGTTTTATGTCGAGAAGAGAAAAAAAAACGAGGAAACGGCGTCGGCAGGGTTTGAACCTGCGCGTGAAGAACCCAATGGTTTTCAAGACCATTTCCTTAACCACTTGGCCACGACTGCGGCGACGGCGTCAACTCCTATTTCACTCTTAACGTAGCTGTTTTATGTCGAGAAGAGAAAACAAAACGAGGAAACGCAGTCGGCGGGGTTTGAACCTGCGCAGGAAAAACCCAACGGTTTTCAAGACCATGGCCTTAACCATTCGGTCACGACAACAGCGACGGCGTCTCCTGCGATTTCATATTTAACAAAGTCGTTTATTTCAAAAAGTTAAAAAAACGAGGAAACGCTGTCGGGAGGGTTCGATTCTGAGCGGGAAGAACCCAATGGTTTTCAAGACCATCGCTTTACCCACTCCGCCTCGACTGCGGCGAGGTTATCATCTGCTATTTCACTCTGAACATAGTCGTTTATGCCGAGAAGAGAGATACAAAACGAGAAAACGCAGTCAGCAGGGTTCAAACATGTGCGGGAAGAACCCAATGGTTTTCAAGACCATCACCTTAACCGCTCGGCCACGACTGCAGCGACGGTGTCATCTGCTATTTCACTCTGAACATAGCCGTTTATATCGAGAAGATAAAACAAAACGAGGAAACGCAGTCGACAGGATTCGAACCTGCGCGGGAAGAACCCAAAGCTTTTCAAGACCATCGCCATAACCACTCAGCCACGACTGCGGTTGGAGCGTCAACTCTTATTTCACTCTTAACAAAGTCGACTATGTCGAGAAGAGGAAACGAAGAAACGCAGTCGACAGGCTTCGAACATGCGCGGGAAAAACCCAATAGTTTTCAAGACTATCGCTTTAACCACTCCGCAACGACTGCGGTGATGGCGTCAACTCCTCTTTCACTCTTAACATTGTCCACTTTGTCGAGAAGAGAAAAACGAAACCAGGAAACGCAGTCGGCGGGGTTCGATCCTGCGCGGGAAGAACCCAAAGGTTTTCAAGACAATCACCTTAACCACTCAGCCACGACTGCGGCGCCGTTGTCATCTGCTATATCACTCTGAACACAGTCGTTTATGTCGAGAAGAGAAAAAAACGAGGAAACGCAGTCGGCAGGGTTCGAACCTGCGCGGGAAGAACCCAATGGTTTTCAAGACCATCGCCTTAACCACTCGGCCACGACTGCGGCGACGGCGTCAACTCCCATTTCACTTTTAACATAGTCGACTATGTCGAGAAGAGGAAAAACAAAACGAGGAAACGCAGTGGGCACGGTTCGATCCTGCGCGGGAAGAACGCAATGGTTTTCAAGACCATCGTCTTAACCACTCGGCCACGACTGCTGCGACGGTGTCATCTGCAATTTCACTCTGAACATAGCCATTGATATCGAGAAGAGAAAAACGAAACCAGGAAACGCAGTAGGCAGGGTTCGATCCTGGCGCGGGAAGAACCCAATGGTTTTCAAGACAATCACCTTAACCACTCGGCCACGACTGCGGCGACGTTGTCATCTGCTATTTTACTCTGAACACAGTCGTTTATGTCGAGAAGAGAAAAACAAAACGAGAAAACGCAGTCGGCAGGGTTCGAACCTGCGTAGAATGAACCCAATAGTTTTCAAGACTATCGCCTTAACCACTCGGCCACGACTGCGGTGATGGCGTCAACTCCTCTTTCACTCTTATCATAGTCGGCTATGTCGAGATGAGAAAAACGAAACGAAGAAACGCAGTCGGCAGGGTTCGATCCTGCGCGGAAGAACCCAAAGGTTTTCAAGACCATCGTCTTAATCACTCGGTCATGACTACAGCGACGGCGTCTCCTGCGATTTCACTCTGACCAAAGTCGATTATGTCGAGAAATGAAAAAAACGAGGAAACGCAGTCGGCAGGGTTCGATCTTGAGCGGGAAGAACCGAATGCTTTTCAAGACCATCGCTTTACCCACTCCGCCCCGACTGCGGCGAGGTTATCATCTGCTACTTCACTCTGAACATAGTCGTTTATGCCGAGAAGAGAGATAAAAAACGAGAAAACGCAGTCCGCAGGGTTCGAACCTGCGCGGGAAGAACCCAATGGTTTTCAAGACCATCACCTTAACCACTCGGCCACGACTGCAGCGACGGTGTCATCTGCTATTTTACTGTGAACATAGCCGTTTATACCGAGAAGATAAAACAAAACGAGGAAACGCAGTCGGCAGGGTTCGATCCTTAGCGGGAAGAACCCAATGGTTTTCAAGTCCATCGCTTTACCCACTCCGCCCCGACTGCGGTGAGGGCATCATCTCCTAATTCACTCTGAACATAGCCGTTTATGTCGAGAATAGAAAAACAGAACGAGAAACCCAGTCGACAGGATTCAAACCTGCGCGGGAAGAACCCAATGGTTTTCAAGACCATCAGCTTAACCACTCCGCCACGACTGCGGCGATGGCGTCAACTCCTCTTTCACTCTTAACATAGTCGATTATGTCGAGAAGAGAAAAACGAAACGAAGAAACGCAGTCGACGGGCTTCGAACATGCGCGGGAAGAACGCAATTATTTTGAAGACTATCGCCTTAACCACTCCGCCACGACTGCGGTGATGGCGTCAACTCCTCTTTCACTCTTAACATTGTCGACTATGTCGAGAAGAGAAAAACGAAACCAGGAAACGCAGTCGGCGGGGTTCGACCCTGCGCGGGAAGAACCCAAAGGTTTTCAAGACCATCGCCTTAACCACTCGGCCACGACTGCTGCGACGGTGTCATCTGCAATTTCACTCTGAACATAGTCGTTTATGTCGAGAAGAGAAAAACAAAACGAGGAAACACAGTCGGCAGGGTTCGAACCTGCGCGGGAAGAACCCAATGGTTTTCAAGACCATCGCGTTAACCACTCGGCCACGACTGCGGCGACGGCGTCAACTCCTATTTCACTCTTAACATAGTCGACTATGTCGAGAAGAGAAAAACAAAACGAGAAAACGCAGTCGGCAGGGTTTGAACCATCGCGGGAAGAACCCAATGGTTTTCAAGACCATCGCCTTAATCACTCGGTCATGACTGCGGCGACGCCGTCTCCTGCGATTTCACTCTGAACATAGCCGTTTATGTCGAGAAGAGAAAAACAAAACGAGGAAACGCAGTCGGCAGGGTTCGAACCTGCGCGGGAAGAACCCAATGGTTTTCAAGACCATCGCCTTAACCACTCGGCCACGACTGCGGCGACGGCGTCTACTCTTATTTCACTCTGAACATAGCCGTTTATGTCGAGAAGAGAAAAAAACGAGGAAACGCCGTCGGCAGGGTTTGAACCTGCGCGGGAAGAACCCAATGGTTTTCAAGACCATCGTCTTAATCACTCGGTCATGACTGCGGCGACGGCGTCTACTCTTATTTCACTCTGAACATAGCCGTTTATGTCGAGAAGAGAAAAACGAAACGAAGAAACGCAGTCGGCAGGGTTTGAACCTGCACGGTAAGA